TATAATGAACCCTATACTAATCCAAATGCTCCAGTGCATATAGTTACTGGATCCGCTGGATGTAAAGAGGAACATGATAATTTTAATAAAACTGTACCTGTTTGGTCTGCTTTTAGAAGCAAGGTTTGTTCTTATTTAAAAAGAATTTAAAAGTACAAGATGCATATACTTGCACATATTACTTGATTTCATTTAATTTTTCTAGGACTATGGTTATACCAAACTCAAAGTGTATAACAAGACTCATATGCATTTAGAACAAATATCAGTTGATAAATTAGGACAAGTTATTGATGAGTTTTGGATCATAAAAGATACACATGGCCCTTTTTAAATAAATATTGGTTTGTGATATATAATTACTCGTACTTGTACTTTGTTACTATATATAATATACTTTAATACTATATAGGAAAAAAAGAAAGTATTTGATATATATCAAACAAATAATATCAATTTATATATATATATATATATATATATATAATATTTATATATATATATATTATATATATATATATATATATATGGAACGAATATTAAATGTTAAATATGAACAATACGACACTCAGATTTTTAACACACACTTTATTTGGTAATTACAGACGTTTCAAGACCATGGTATGCCTCATCTTCATTGTAATTTCAAAACAGTTACTTATATACTACACATTCTTTAATATTTTATTTAAATTACATTTAACTGTCTCTTCATCTCGATACTTAAGATTTATTTAAAATATTTCTGTATGTTTCACATGTTTTAGTACTGTGCCAAGCTCTGCAAGTGATAGTGTTTTTTGTATTTACAAAAATTAAATGTAATTTAAATAAAATATTAAAGAATGTGTAGTATATAAGTAACTGTTTTGAAATTACACTGAAGATGAGGCAAACCATGGTCTCGAAACATTAGTAATTATTAAATAAAGTGTGTGTTAAAAATCTGAGTGTTGTATTGTTTATATTTAACATTTAATATTTGTTCCATATATATATATATATATATATATATATATATATACATTTTTCTGGATAGCTAATATCATGAATGATTTTTTGCTGAACTAAAAACATTTTCCAAAAAACAAACAACGTATTTATTTTTTTCTTTGAACACAAACACATTTTTAACTAGAAACACAGTTTCTCAAAACATTGAAAAATGTAATAAATCAAGTTTTTAAAAAAGGAAACACTTGACTCATTTGACTTGATTAGTTCAGAAAAATAAAAATTGTAAAAATAAAATAAACAAAAATTTTCACACAGGTATCCATCCAATAATTAAAAAGACAAAATGTTTATAAATGATTTTAAGAAGTATCAGTACCAAATAATTTAGAAAAAAGTACAAAAATTATGAAAAACAATGAGCAATTGTGTATAACAGTTATTTATATCATAGAATTATATATTTATTTTAAAAATTAAGTTAAATTAAGTAATTAGTCAATTGAAAGTACTGGTAAAAGTACTATTAAAAGCAAACAATGGGCAAACTCGTGTATGAGTCATTTAAATCATAGAATTATATATTTATTTTAAACATTAAAGGTAATATTAAACCGTTTTTATTGAAAGACTCGAACTGCTTCGAAGATAAATCAAAATAAATTTTGTTTATAAATTATTTATTATAAGATTAAATTTAACCTCTAATCTCTGACGTTGTCAATGTCAAAAAGATCTCGACTGACATTCGATTGCACAATTTGTATTCATTTGTTTTGTAAATTGTTTGAATAGATTGTTTATATTTTATATTCGGATTATGCAGTATTTTATTTACATACCAAAGCTTATCGAACCTAGACGTTAATTAAGTTAATATTTACTTTGTGAATAATACTTCCAATATGTATCGATGCGTAGTCACAATATTTTATTTAATATTTTTCTGTGGAAATGCATTTTCACATGTATCTTATCAACCTGAGCAAGTGCATTTATCTTATGGAGGTATGTATTTAAATGTTCAACGTTTTTATTTTTTTTTTAAATAAAAATGTTTTAAATTATGAGATATATGCCATTTGAATAGTTTTTAAATAATTTATTTTTATGTATATTAAATTTTTAAATTATTCAACCAATATATTAAAATTAGTCTAATCTATTGTATTAATGATTCTATTTTACATAAATTTTTTTAGATAATGAGTTAGAAATCGTTGTCACTTGGTCTACCCAAAATAAGACAGCTGAATCAATTGTTGAATATGGTATCAACGGGTATATTTTAAGAGAGTTTGGATATTCATTTAAGTTTGTTGATGGAGGAGAATTGCATCGCGAACAATATATTCATAGAGTTGTATTACCAAATTTAGTGCCAGATAGCAAATATGTATATCACTGTGGAAGTAATATGGGGTGGTCCTCACAGTATTGGTTCAATACTCGACCAGAAAGCCCTGATTGGAGTCCTCATTTGGCCATTTTTGGTGATATGGGAAATGAAAATGCTCAGTCATTATCTAGACTACAAGAGGAGACTCAAAAGGGATTATATGATGCAATTTTACATGTTGGAGATTTTGCCTATGATATGAATACAGATAATGGACTAGTTGGAGATGATTTTATGAGACAAATTGAAACTATTGCTGCATATGTACCATATATGGTTTGTGTTGGAAACCATGAGGAGAAATAGTATGTAAATAGCATTTTTTTGATTTCTATATATCACTTTAATTTATTATATTTTTTCAGCAACTTCAGTCACTACAGAGCTCGTTTTTCTATGCCTAGTGATTCAGAGTCATTAGTGTACAGTTTCAATATGGGCCCTATTCATTTCATAGCATTTTCCACTGAAGTTTATTATTTTTTAAATTATGGCATGAAACAATTGATATATCAATATCAATGGCTGGAGAATGATCTGAAAGAAGCAAATAAACCTGAAAACCGTAAAATTCATCCTTGGATCATAGCATTTGGTCATAGACCAATGTATTGCAGTAATAACAATACTGATGATTGTCATCGTCATGATACATATGTCCGGGTTGGATTACCATTTACACACTATTTTGGATTAGAAAATTTATTCTATAAATATGGAGTTGATGTTTATATTGGAGCACATCAACATTCCTATGAAAGACTTTGGCCTATTTATGATTATAAGGTTCGTACTGTTAATATATTTTTTACAATAACTTAATTCAATTATCTACAGCTTTCATAGGTTTAAAAATGGATGATAATAATTTTAGATAGCATGCCATTTCTAAATTGTTTGTTTTTCTATTTTCGGTTTTTAAAAATGTTTTTCTTTTATTCACTATTTTTTGTAAAGTTAATAAGTGTGTGATTAGGTACGAAATGGTTCATACACTGAACCTTACACAAACCCAAAAGCACCTGTACACATCATAACCGGTCAGCTGGATGTAACGAAGGACATTCTGAATTTAATTACGATTTACCAGAGTGGTCAGCCTTTAGGAGTGAGGTAAATAGAATATTAACTAGTAAAACTACCAGTTCCATTGAAATTTCCGATTATTTTGGAATTTGTGGTTGGATGTGTTGCAATTTAAACACTAATATTTGACTATGTTGAATAATTTATTACATACGAAATTACTTTTTATTTCTAGGATTATGGATACACAAAGTTAAAGGCACATAATGAAACCCATTTATATTTTGAGCAAATTTCAGTTGATAAATTGGGTCAAGTAATAGATGATTTCTGGATAATCAAAGATTCACACGATGCTTATCCTTAATATATGCATTAATGATTGTATTTTAATAATATTAAACATTTTGCTACAGTTTAATAGATTGTATTATTGATTCTCCTCTATCAGGAGGATTTATGCGCCTATGTGCAACACAGGTATTTTCAAGTTTTTTGTCAAATGGTCTATCCAAACATTTATACAATTTATTGCAATTCAATGCTAATGTAGCAAATTTAACAAATAAATTAAAATCATTTCCATTGGTACAGATCAAAAAGTCACATTTAAATTGATATTTTTTCCAGTCATTGATGCAGCATTCAATATATTCTGGATGAACAGTATAATATTTATTTATACTCGTATGTTTAATATTAAGAGAGTCTGCTAATATTCCAGTTACATAAACATCATCAATCCAAAAATAAGGAATATTTTCTGATTCTGCTACAAGCAATTTTGCTGTATGTGGATTTGTTATATACAACCATCCGGACAAAAATGTAGGATAAGTGGTTGAAGCAAACTCTTCGTGTTTTACAAACCATTTATTAGCAGGTTCACGCTTCGGTGTCATATCTTTCAATACGTATCCCATCAAAAGCTCCTTAGGCTGAACATTTTGATCTATCACATGTAAAATACCATAAATATCTACAATAATGTCATCATCCATTTTAATTATGAATTCCACATGCCTGCAATTTTCAGTGGCCCACTTTAAACCCATTATGTGCTTATAGGTAAGATTTCTATATGCTTCCTCAAAATTGCCCTGAATCATATCATGAAACCTTTCATTTTCATTATTCAAAGCCTCTTGCGTTATTGCATACTTGTCCTTCTTAGGAATGTTTGCTAGCAGAAATACTCGTTTAAATTGAATATCCCATAACTGTTCATTAGATAATGCTCTTCTATGTGCACTTCTACCTTGTGGATCACCCGAATAAGATGTTACTATTAATAAACCTTTTATGCTGCTCTCTTTACATATTTCATTATTAATATTGTATTGAAAATTATTTAGATTAATTAGTTTATGTGGATCATGTAGTACATTTTTGATCTTGATATGCTTGTGATATTGAGATACTTCTGATGTATTTTGCCAAGAGAATAAAAGTAGCAATATGAATACACATCCAGAAAATAAGAAAAAATTAATGGCAGTTCTTGAGTAGAATTTAGACATGGTTTTTGGTTGAAATATGCATATTATAAATGTATATATTGTTGAATAGTAAATTTCAGTATATATGTTTATAATGAATATAAAAAATCAATAATGAATAAATTGAAAGAAGAAAAGAATAAGAACTAGAAAGTAGGTCATAATAAAACCTCTGAAAAAAACATTTCAATTTAAATTCATTATTAGCGTACGTTCTTCGATATAGTTTTATTTTATATCAAATTTATTTCAACATACCTTACATCTCTTATAAAATCATATCAATGACATTAAAAAATGTTCAAATACAAAACAATGGGATTTGTATAATATTTTCATGTGAAAAATAATTCATTTGATCTCCACAAAAAATGCATATTAATTATGTAAGGTAGTAAATTATTTACCTTAAAACTATAATCACAAAACTAATAACGTAAAAAATGTAATCTTTTTGTATTTTTTTCGTGTTCGTTCGTCGACATATCAAAAACCAAAATGGTTGTCAAAGAAATGTTTTATTTTGTATTATTCAGTTGGCAGTATGGCACCGAATTATTGATAAAGTTTTCCCACTCTCACGCTAAAAAAGTAAAATGATCAAAAATAAAGATGCTAGAAGTAGATATTGATGACTCTACTATTTGTGATTCAGCGGTAATATTATAAATAATAGTGGCAGAATACCAATTTGTCTCATTATTTGCTGAAAAAGAAAATTCTTTAAATGACATTTGTAGAATGTCAACATAACCTCACTATGTTTTTCAGTACTCCCTTGTCGAAGGATGCCGATTACCGGTTCGAATGAAAGGTGGCGTAGATTGGCCACTAGCAGAAATTATAAGTATAAAAGATATACAAGGCGATAGATGTTTTTATGTGCACTATGTGGACTGTAAGTGTATTTTATGACAAAGATGAAATTATTATATACAAATAGTTACAGGACGATGATAAGTATTTAATTATTATAAAGTAGGAAGGCAAAGTATTCCTTCGGAGCTTAACAAATAGATAATTTGCACAAAACGGTTCTTAGTCGATGTCAGTACATTTGAATAATGAAACCATTATTAACCAAATAGCAACTCATTATAAACATTGGCAAATTTTTGTGATTAAGATTTTTATATTTATTTTGGGAAGAAGTGAGAACTGTTGACTAGTTTTTCCAATAAAATGCTTTGAAAATTTGTATTTGCTATATAGTAGTAAACTGTAATTTATAATTTATTGAATTGCGTAATTCTAAAAAAAGTAAAAGTAGGTAAGATATATGTTCGATAGCAATCACAAAAACTAAAAATATTCATGGTAATATTTCATTGTTACTTTGAAGGCTATATAACATTGATATATATATATATATATATATATATATATATATATTTCTTTTACCATTCTAAATTTCTGTCTAATTATAGATAATAAACGTTTGGACGAATGGGTGAAAGAAGATTGTTTAGATACTCGTAAAGTACAATTTCCAAGGCGAGATGTACCGGGAAGTGGCACAGGCTTTTCAACTCCAAAAAAGTCTTCAATTGGAGGAGGAAGCCAACGAGTTGGAGAATCTTCTAGGCCCACAAGTCCGACAGCACCTGAATTATTAAATGGATCAGCAGTACTAGCTGCCGCACTTCAAAAGAAAATCAATAGAAAACGAAAAGCAGTTTCAATAGAAAATGAGGAAACTCAACCAAAGAGTGAGGAGGTCTGAAAATTTGGATATTGTTGGCTTCTGAAGTGAGTGTATTTTATATTATCAATATATTTTCAGTCGGAAGCCACTACTCCTAGACAGTCTGGAAGTATGGTGGCTCACCATGATGATGTTGTCACTAGAATGAAAAATATAGAATTAATTGAATTAGGTAGACATAGAATAAAACCTTGGTATTTTGCACCTTACCCTCAGGTATAAATTGAAGTGTCACATGAATTCTTCATTATGAATGTTGTTGTATTATTATTAATTATATCTCAGGAAATGATTCACTTCCCTTGCATATATATTTGTGAATTCTGTCTCAAATACAGAAAAAGTCGAAAGTGCTTAGAGAGGCATTTGATTAAATGTATTTTGAGGCATCCTCCAGGAAATGAAATTTATAGGAAAAATAGTATATCATTTTTTGAGATCGATGGAAGAAAGAGCAAATGTTATGCTCAGAACCTCTGCTTGTTGGCCAAATTATTTTTAGATCACAAAACTCTGTATTATGATACAGATCCATTTTTATTCTATGTGATGACAGAGTTTGACAACAGGGGTTTCCACATAGTTGGTTATTTCTCTAAGGAGAAAGAATCTACAGAAGACTATAATGTAGCTTGTATTCTCACATTACCACCATATCAAAGGAAAGGATATGGAAAGTTATTGATAGAATTTAGTAAGAAAGCAATGATTCAATTATTAACATATTGAACAACATTCAAAATATTTTTTATAATTTTAATAATTTATTATTCAGGCTATGAATTATCAAAATTTGAAGGAAAAACAGGCTCCCCAGAGAAACCTTTAAGTGATTTAGGCTTATTATCATATCGAAGCTATTGGGCTCAAACAATACTAGAAATTCTTATTTCATTAAAACCAGTTGGAGATAATGAGAAACCTCAAATAACTATAAAGTAATGAGAAATAAAATATTAGTTTGATTATTATTTCAATAATTATTAATTTCCTCATTTGTTTTAGTGAAATATGTGAACTTACCAGTATTAAAAAAGATGATGTGATATCAACATTGCAAAATTTAAATTTAATTAATTATTATAAAGGTCAATATATTATATCTGTTAATCAAGAAACAATTCAAAGCCATAAAAAATCTATGGAAAAAAGAACTATACGCATTGATCCAAAATGTTTACATTGGACACCAAAAGATTGGTCCAAGAGATCAAAATGGTGACTTCATAGTTATAATAACTTAGTTAAATAGATAGATAGATAGCAGAGTGATAATTTATTTTTTTATTGTACATAATTTTGATTGTAAATATTATATAATATTTAGTGTTATGAATAATAAAAAAAGTTTTTACATTTTTTATAAATACATGTTTTATTCTATCAAAAGTTTCAAAATTTAAAAATATAATTTAGGGTACTGCTATAATATAGATTACTTCATAATATTTAGGTAATGGAAATATGCTTCTTCTTATATAATGTTGAAGCAATATTAAAACTGCTTAAAAATCCGTTTGAATCAAAACCTCTTTAATCTCAACCTGGCATTGGTCAAACCTGCTTTAGTCAGGTGTTAAAAACCTTTTCTGGGATTTCTCTCAGAGTTACGTTTATGTATTTCATTCTCATTATTCTATATAATAATGAATTTATGTGTATGTCTTGTTTAAATTAAACTAAATAACTAGCTGTAAGTGGAATTCTGTCTTAAGGCAATTGCTGGAACTTCCCGTACCGCAATTCAAAATTCGAGTTATTAAAAATAATCAATAACAATCAATAAAAGTTGATCAATGATTTGAAACTTTTAATAAAATTTCGAACCATATTAAATCATTCTATCTTAAATCATTTATTTTGAAATATTTTGGAAATTCTGAACTTTTTTTCAAAGCAATCGCACTGCTTTAACTGCATAAAGACGAAATATCGAAGCGCGTAAGCGCCGCGTCGCCGTCTAACGCGTAAACATTGGTACGGAACCCATAAGAATGTAAACAAAATTTATACTTATTGTTAAAATCTCTATAAAATATCTGATAATTTGATATGCATATGTCTAATGTTCATTTTTGAGCGCCAAATGGCATTTTTTTTTACTTTTTTTGTTAGATCTCCGAAACAGCTAGACCTGCCTTCATGAAAATTTGATCAATTCTTCATCTTGTCAATACAAGCAAAATGTTTTTGAATTATTCAAATCGGACGCTCCGTTCTCTTAAAAACTGAATTACCGTTTTTGGCACTTTTTGCCCCATATCTTCGGAACGGCTAGACCTGCCTTCACCAAAAACTAATCAGCACGTCTCCTTATCAATACGAATCGAATGTTTTTTGAATTATTCAAATCGCTTCATCCGTGTTCCCGAAATCGTCGACGAAAATTTGTATCCGCACACACATACATCCATTTTTTCTAAGGTATGCCAAAATGTTCAGAACCTCTGAAACGTAAATATATATAAAAATTTTCATTTTCGATTTTTTTGCGATTACTATAACTTGCCCTACGGGAAGTTAAAAATTATTCTATGAAAACTATTTCGTTTTTTATCGCGTTAAAATACGAAATAGTTTCCTGCACTGACATAATTTTTATTCATAAACGCACTTCAAGCCCTGTTTCACAATGTTTTCGATTAATTGCATGTTGATAACAGTTTATGTTTCATAACTGCTGGACACGTTTTCCATAAGATACATTCTCAGTTTTTTATTTGCATTGTGATAGCCGGCCGATTGCATTCAGTAAGAAAATAATAATTTAATTCCAGATTTTTATATATATTAAAGTTTTAAAATACTAATAAATATGGAGTGCAGATATACAATTAAACCATAAATGTGGTTTATAAATTTTATACTTTTCAATTTTATCTTACAAATTTGTTATTTATTTGACCTTGATACGTAACCTTTATTCTTCTAGGACCACTCTCTTATCATGTCATATACTTCTTTATTTACAAAAAATATTTGTGAATTCGCAGGTTCTAAAATGCCGATCAAAAGTATCAAAGCTCGTCAAATTTTCGACTCTAGGGGTAATCCTACTGTCGAAGTCGATTTAGTGACCGAATTAGGATTATTTAGAGCAGCGGTTCCTTCGGGTGCTTCCACAGGGGCCTATGAGGCTCTTGAATTACGCGATAATGATAAGACACAATATATGGGAAAAGGAGTATCCAAAGCATTGCACAATATTAATCAATTGATTGCCCCCGAGTTAATTAAACAATCTTTTGAGGTTACTCAACAGGAAGAGGTAATCAAAATTATGGTGTGAGGAACGTTGTTTAAATATTTATTTCTTGGCTTTTGTGGTTTTTATATTTTAATCGAAAGCTGAATTCAATTAAAACACTTACGAATACTTACAGTATTTAACTTAACTTATTTGTATGTGTGAAGTATATATATATATATATATATATATATATATATATATATATATATATATATATATATATATATATGTTAAAGTAGTTAATTTTGATGTTGAGAAATATGAGTAAGTTCTTCAAGGGCATACATCAAATAAAAATTTATTTGATGTATGCCCTTGAAGAACTTACTCATATATATATATATATACATTGTAGTATACTTACTTTAAAATCAGATTGCGTGAAGTATTTATTACGTAATATGTGAAATTATTATATCATTTGTATTTGATAAAAGCACTATTAGACACATCTTTACATTTGCAATCATAATATGATAATGATATAGGTGTAAAATGTATAACGATTCAGCTTCTCATGGTAAATTGAATGTAATAGTGAGTTAATTACTTAAATTCCAAATTCCTCTTTTCTTAAATATCTATAAAACTGGTATTAATTTGCTATTAATCAATTTATTTAGAATCAAATTAATTATTTTCTGTAATATCCATGGATATAAAACTTATAGAATTGTGGTCACCAATAAAAACATGACAGGAAAATATCTTCAAAAAGAATTTAGTTTATCTTTTGAGTATATATTTTCTTGCACAGATCGACAAATTTATGTTGAAACTGGATGGTACTGAGAACAAATCTAAATTTGGAGCCAATGCTATATTAGGAGTTTCATTAGCTGTGTGCAAAGCTGGTGCTGCTAAAAAGGGTGTTCCTCTGTATCAACATATTGCAGATTTGGCTGGAAATAAAAAAATTGTGCTTCCTGTCCCAGCTTTCAATGTTATCAATGGCGGTAGTCATGCTGGAAATAAACTTGCTATGCAAGAATTCATGATTCTACCTACTGGTAACAAACTTACTAATAACTAATTAATATAAATAGCTAGTTGATATTGTAATTGTTAAAGTTTTGTATTAGGTGCTACATCTTTTACTGAAGCTATGAAAATGGGTTCAGAAGTCTATCATAACTTGAAAAAAGTAATTCACAAAAAGTTTGGTCTCGATGCTACAGCAGTTGGAGATGAAGGTGGATTTGCACCTAACATTCTGAATAATAAAGAAGCTTTGCATCTTATTCAAGAAGCTATCCAGTCTGCTGGTTATACTGGAAAGGTATTGCTCTAATTTTTGAATTTTGAATCTTCAATTCAAATCAATTCTTTAACATATTTACCCTAAGTGTTAATTCTGTTTTATAGTTTTAATATTTGATATTACAATCCTGTAGCATTTTTTCTTATATTTGAGTTTTTGAAACTGCTATTCAAACATTCTTGTATTATTGTTTATCTAATGCATAATCTAATTCCTTTAGATTGATATTGGAATGGACGTTGCTGCATCTGAGTTCCACAAAAATGGAAAATATGATCTAGATTTCAAGAACCCTCAATCAAAGCCCTCAGATTATCTATCAGTGGAAAAATTAACTGACCTTTATAAAGAATATATCAAAGAATTCCCAATTGTATCAATAGAAGATCCTTTCGATCAAGATCATTGGGATGCTTGGACTGGATTAACTGCAGCTACTAAAGTGCAAATTGTTGGTGATGATTTAACGGTTAGTATATATTGTCCATAATAGTGTAATAATATGCTATTATATAATATTACATACAATTATATAGTATCAATAACTTTCCTATAAAACTAGGTGACCAATCCAAAACGCATTCAAACTGCTATTGATAAAAAATCTTGTAACTGTTTGCTTCTAAAAGTAAACCAGATAGGTTCGGTAACTGAATCTATTCAAGCCCATTTACTTGCTAAGAAAAATGGTTGGGGCACCATGGTATCCCACAGGTATATCGTGCTTAGAGAGAATATAATGCCTTGGAACTTAAAATAATAATAATAATAATAATCCTCAGATCTGGTGAGACTGAAGACACATTTATTGCTGATTTAGTTGTTGGCTTGAGCACAGGGCAAATTAAGACTGGAGCACCTTGCAGATCCGAACGCTTGGCAAAATATAACCAAATCCTCCGTATTGAAGAGGAACTTGGAACCAATGCTCTATATGCTGGAAAAAAATTCCGCAAACCCGAGTAAAACTTTGAAATTATTGTTAAAAGTACATTGAGATGTACATTTGTATGATTATCATCTTTTATATATTATAAAATATACATTTTTAAATATTTAAATTTTTTATATCTTTTGTAGCTTTCTAGATAACAATTTATTAATTTTTTTTTAAATATTCTCTCCAATGACTACCCTCCTATTTAAGTGTACAAACAAGACATGGTATATTTTTCGAGAAAGAGGTAACCAAAAGATGTGATTGAATTCAATAATAACCAAAAAAGATTGAGTGGAGACTTAGTAAAATAATAAATATGCCACAAATAATTTAGTAGAAAATTTTATACATTAACAAATTGCGAAAAGGGTGTGTTTGAGATTAATAGATTACTAATTTACTCAAAAAAGTTAATAACCTCACTAATAAGTAATAATTGTTATGAAATACACAGCTCTGGATGTTATTTACAAACACCTTAGGTTAACAAATACTTTTAAAACACTCTGCAGGCTTATCGCTATTCCTTTAAAATTATGAACCTTCATTATATTGTTATTAATTATGAACTGATTTTCGTCGGGCGACATGAAGAATTGATTGTCTAAATTTAATTAAAAGCTCCATCTATTGGAGCCGAACGTGAATTGAAAGTTTTCTAATGCGCCAAATGGCGCTGTTTCTTTCTTACAGAAGATGAATAACAAGTTGGTATAAAATGGCGTCGTGGTCGTAATTTTTATATTTGCTAGATTATGGTATTGAATAGTTGAAAATTATCTGTAGTGAAATGTGATATGTATTATGTAATTATGGTATCTTGAGCTGTCGAATGTTATATAAACACTCAATCCAGTGTCGATAATAAAACAACGCGCGGCAACGAAAGTTGAAAGCTTTCGCCAAAAATGCGCTGATCCCGCGTACGGAGAGTAATTGTCAATAAACTGTTTTGTTGTGATAATGAAGTTTTGGTGGTATATGTTCTAAGTTCGAGATATAAATAATAAATAAACAAAATATGCTACCCAAATGTTTGTTGCGATAAAATAAATCAAAGACTTAAGTTTTACTCGGTGGCGTCTATTTTTGAACGCCGTATCCGACATGTGTACCGCGCCAAGTAACCCCCCTGCGGGGTTCGGGTACTCCTGGAATTTTACACCGTGCTCAGAGGCTCCGCGCCCGGATGATATTTCAGCGAATATAAGCAATTATTCGTTAACAAATACAGTGAGTAAATAATAAATATGAAAATCTATTCATTTATTTGTGTGCTATTAAAATAAAATGCGGCAATTGTTGCTATAAATTCGTTTATTATGTATCTCCAAGCATGTTAGTATTAGCTTCTTATTCACCCTCTCCATTTTCAACGCCTACACACTGTAATGGCGGTATACACGTATCTACGCACACACCCATATCTGGGAAAACTTGTAAACGCATGCTTATGGCCACAAATACATTTATAATAAATGTTTCTGTCAACATTCTATGTTTATTTTCATTTGTACATTAAGTTTTAAGCCTTAGTTTAATTCGATTTTCATTTTTCATCATCTTTCACTTTCTACCAAGTCCTTTGTCAGCGTAATGGCGATGCTGTATTTTTCTTATATTTACAGCATTGTGTTTTAAAAGCATCAACTGGCTAATAGAAACATTATTGTTGTTATTTAGAAATGTCAACTAAAATCTTATTGTTTGTAAACAAAATATTACGTTGTTTATTTTCGTTATTTAATTTGTATTCTCGATTCTTATTGAGTATTATTGATTTAGTAATTTTGGCATATAATGTATGCGATATAATATTTAATATTTTTTTATCAACGTCGAATATAAAACCGTGAAAATAATAAATATATTTTAATTTTACCATAATTATTAAATAAATATGTAGTGATCAGAAATCATTTTATTTTTAATTTTGTGATTCATTTTTTTATATTATCTAAAGCAGCATAATTAAAAGCACAATTTTAAACTTTGATTACTATTATGCAATTGAAAGAGTGTAATGGTAATAAAATTAAGTATTAAAATTTACATTTTATGTGCTTTATAATTTTATGATATTAAAAATTATTTTAGTTTTTATTTTATTATGATATAAAAAAATAGTTTATAATTTTCATCATTCACTTACAATCCTTACAATTTTTTATAACGAATTCTGTAGAAACTAGATAATATAATAGGGTTAATATGTACGGAAATTATTTAGCCACTTATAAATAATTATATATAAAATTTATATTAATTAAAAAATTAAATACATAATGAGTAAGCTAATTTACAACATTATCCAAATAATGAAACGATAAATATATTAATGAAAAATTATAAAAGCAAACAAAAATTTTTGTCTTCATACCTTTGGTTATGTACTTATATTTGATTTGTTCATTTGATAATAAATAAATATTCAAGTTGATAAAAATACAATAAATCTACAATGTTTTATTATAGGCGAAATTCAAGGGATACTAAAAAGTTAAAAGTTAAAAAAAAATATGGAATATAAAATTCTACATTTTACATTGATATTTTTTCTTCATATGCAAAAAAAGAATGATAGTCATTATATTATAAATGTATTTAAATTGTTTGCCTCGCTTAAAATTACTAATTAATTGCTTTAAATTTTATTTTGAAGATAAAAATAATTCTTATAGCATATAAAGAAATGTAGAGAGCACATGTGAAATATTTGTCTGATATCATATTATTTTTATTAATAATTACAATTTATTAAAAAACACTTAATTTATTTTTAATTATATATTTACAATACTCTTTTTGAAGCATATATTTGATATCTGAGAAAATTTAATTTAAGGGGTTATTCTAGTGTAGAAATTCAAAAAAATGTTCTTTCTTTTTTTCATATTTTTAAAGTTTAACTATTTAAGAATATATGTACAAGAGGATTTTTAAAAATTTAAATTATTTTCGGTGATACAGCTGTTCAACCATGATAATTCTCTTATGTTTCCTTCATTTTGCAAAACTTTAAAAGCTTAAAGCTTTTTTTCAAAGATGCCTTTATCAATACGATTTCTCCAGTTCTACTGGACCTATTTACTTGAAATTTTTAGAGAATATTCTTTATAGACTTCTTTCAGGCATATACTAGCCTCCACCAAATTTTAATTTTTACTATTTTTAGAAAGTTCTAGAGACTCAAAAAATGGTAAGAAATTGATCCTTTTTTTTTCAAACAGTCACCATTTTGTCAAGAATTTATTTTTTAACTTGCGACGTCATTTCAGATTAATAATCTTTTTTTTTTAAATTTGGATTACTAGGAGGGTTGCAATTGTGAGCATGGTCACGTGTCAACTTTCTGAGACCTTCCACTTCAATCACTACTAATTTTTCAACCATGATAATCTTTTTATGTTTCTTTCATTTTACAAAACTTTAAAAGCTTAAAAGCTTTCTACTCAAAAATATCTTAATCAATACGATTTCTTGAGTTCTACTGGACCGATTTACTTGAAATTTTCGGAGAATATTCTTTATAGACTTCTTGCAGGCAAATACTAGCCTCATCACCAAATTTAAATTTTTACTATTTTTAAAAAATTCTAGAGACTCAAAAAGTGGTAAGAAATTGATTTTTTTTTATTTCAAATAGTCACCATATTATGTCAAGAATTTATTTTTTAATTGCGATATAATTCTAGATTAATATTTATATTTATATTTTTAATTTTGATTATTAGGAGGGTTGCAATCGTAGGCATGGTCACGTGGCAACTTCTTGAGACCCCCCCCCACTTCAATCTCTGTTAATTTTTAATATTAATAACATTTTCTTGTTTAATTTTTTCTGTACTCTTGCAACGTTGATAAAGAAGTTATAAAAAGTATAAAAATCATTGCTTTTAGTCTAAAATTTGTGCCTCTACACTAAAATACCACCTTATGAAAAAATATATATTTTTATTATACAATTATATTATAAAGGTGTACAACCTTTTTAATTTGGATTATTAGGAGGGTTGCAATTGTGAGCATGGTCATGTGTACAACTTTTTGAGACTCTCCACTTCAACCACTGCTAATTTTTATTAACTTTTTTCTGTTCTCTTGTACAAAATTATTTATTACAAATTAATTATAATTATTACAAATAAATTATAAGAAGATGCTAGTATAAAGATTGATTGCTTTTGACCTAAACTTCCTGCCTCTACACTAGAATTACCCCCCTTAAAAAAATACTATATATTTATATTATTCACTTTTACAATACTCTTTTTAGGTTACTTACATTATTTAATAAACAATTCTAAAATTCACGCCTCTACACTAGAATACCCCCTTATAAATATATCTATATATATATATATATATATATATATATATATATCTATTTATTATATCTATTATTATTTATTATATCTATTTATTATACAGGTGTCTACTTTTTGAGACTCTCCACTTCAACCACTGCAAGTTATTAATATTAATGATTTTTGTGTTTTATTTTTTCTGTACTCTTGTAACGCTGATTATGAAATTATAAGAAGAAGATAGGATAAAAATTTATTGGTTTTGGCCTAAAATTCATGTCTCTAGACTAGAATAGACCTTCTTATAAATATGTATATATATTTTCATTAAACAGGTGTCAACTTTTTGAGATTCTCCATTTCAACCACTGCTATTTTGAAATTTATTAACCTTTCTTAGTGTTTAAATTTTTTTTGCACTTTTGTAACGTTTATAAAGAAATTATAAAAGATGATAGTATAAAAATTCATTGCTTTGACCTAAAATTCAGGCCTCCTTATAAAAATATATGTCTAGAATATCCCCTTATAAAAATATATATATCTATTTATTATACAGGTGTCAACTTTTTGAGACTCTCCAATTCAAACACTGCCTTTTTAATTTATTAACTTTTTTAGTTTAATCTGTACTCTTATAACGTCGATAAATAAATCATAAGAAGATGCTAGTATAAAAATTGATTGTATTTGGCCTAAAATACATCCTTCTATACTAGTATAACCCCCTAAAAAAA